GACTGGTCAATACAATGAGTGATCTGTGTAACGGAGAATGAAAATCATATCTATATTTGGACGTTTCCTCCTGTTTGATAGGGCATATCGATATTAGATCTTAATTTTAGCCAATCAGAATTACTATAAATACAAATTTTCCATTCCTGTTACATTAATTCAAAATGTCAAATTTTCATCCTCTTCACGAACAATTATTATGTGAATGGAAATTAAAACTTTCAAAGACAGAAAATTTATTTCCATGTCCAACATTAAACGGGCTTTTTAAAGATGAAACTGAAAATTTTGACAGTTTTACACAAAATTTGCTGGAAGTCCAAGGTTTATTATCATTATTATTAATGTGAGATAATTAAATGCAATCATAATTATATTGAATATTCAGGATCAAAGAATTTGCACGAAGAAAACCACCTATCTAAAATTTTTTATTTCAAACTTAGCTATTAAAAAATAATCATTGTAAGGTTGTTTTAAACTTTAGAAAAATATATTGAAAACCATTAGTTAATATTGTTAAAAATTAGTAATGGCAAATCTTACAATATTATCGGGTTTGATTTAATAATATTTTGAGATGAAGAATACTAAACAATATCAGTGGTGTTCAACGCCAAATAATTTTACTATAAAAGTTTAGGATTAGAATGCAGTTATAGGTTAAGATAGAGGTATATATGAAAGGTTCAATTTTTAATTACATGGCATAAAAGTTTTTGGAAATTCTGAATATTTTTAAAATGTCCAACCTTAATCATTTAGCCAGTTTATGAGATATAGCAATTATGTTGAACAACTAAAGTTTATCTTACTTTTTGCATCTATGCTATATTATTGGTTGCTACAGTAGAAAGAATTAAATATAAAACGTTATTTAATGAATATAGGAATCCTTCATATATGCATGTCGCATTTTTTAAAAAATATAACTGATATATACTGTACTCCAAAATATTCAAATAAGTTACCTCAATTGATCTGAATCAGCCAATCAAACGAATTTCTGCCAATGAGACTAGTGATGGTCTGCAATAACCTTTTTAGGTTATTTTCGCGTGACTAATAATTGTGGCAGATTAAAATGAAATCAGATTAAAATGAAATGAGCGATAGTGTAAAATAGACAAGCCACCGAAA